GAGTCTGGGTTTTCTGTTTTGCTTCCTTAATATTTTCTCCCCACCAACCGACAATATTTTCCCAAAATCTCTTGCACCATGTCCAGAGGATGAGGAAGTCCCGTTTGGTGGACAGAATCCCGAGGACGGGAATGTTCTCTTTGGAGCAAAACCGGAGATTTCCTGGGGCTCTATGTAATTTTGAGGTTGAGTGGGAGTGAGGATGGGCGGGTTGATCGTCGGGAGAAACTGTGCCAACGACAAGGGTCAGTTGCCAGAGGACTGGGATTGAAGATATTTCATAAAAAGCGGCAGTTATGCAGAGTAAACACACAGAATACTGCAGAAACTCAACAGGTCCAGCTGTATTGGTGGAAAGAGAAGCAGAGCAAAGGTTTTGAATACGGCGAGAGTCCTGTTCAGAACGCGTCTTCCCTGAATGTCAACGAACTACCAGACCTGAGATGGTTTTAACAGAAACGCAGTCGGCAGGATTCGAACCTGCGCGGGGAAACCCCAACGGATTTCAAATCCATCGCCTTAATCACTCGGCCACGACTACAGGCCACGCGTTAGTGAGGGAACAATGTAAAGGAAGAAATAGCAGAACATTCACCAAAGATGACCGCAGTCAAACTGAGTCAACATCGTTTGCTGAAAGGAAATCTGCACTTGACAATTTTCCAAGAGTTGTTTGCTAATATTAAAAGCAGAGTTCATAAAGGGAGCCCGTAGATGAAGTGTACTTGAATTTTCCATAGCACTCAAAAAGGGGTCATATAAAAAATCATAGCACAAGGTAGAGTTGACGGTGTTGGGTAATAAATGAGCATGGATTTCCTTTGTTTAATTAACAGAAGACACAGAATCGGGATGAATGGGTATTTTTCAAGTTGAAATACCCATCCCCCAAAACCCACCCAACATACTCTGAAATATACTATTTGATGGGCACTATTCTCTCGGAGATCTTTTAACTTGATGTAATTCATTAAACCTGCCACATTAAACATTACCAGATCTAAATTAGCCACATTCCACATCCTACCCCTAATGCATCTTTTGCCTCTTTGAACAGTTGTGGAAATATTTTTCTCTGAAATTTATCACCTTCGTAAAAAAAGGGCTTTATAGTGAAGGAAAAATCGTAAACCATTCATTACTTGGCACAGATTTGTTTACAGAGTTCAACATTACAGGTGTGTAGTTTGTGACTCCACTCTGTGTCTGTAAGTGTCTTGTTATCAGTTCTCCAGTCACCAAAGAATGTGTACATAATA